TTTTGACTGCAGTTCTTTTTTATATTTGAGAGTAAATGCTCTGATATGCTCTAGGTTGCTTAATATCCGTCTGAAATTCTGGACTGGTCATATTTTTCGATTAGGAGTCGTATATGTAAATAACTCACCGTGACCAGTGTTTTGCATTATGAAGTATATTGTTATGAAGGTCAACACACTGCAATTTAGGTAAATATTTACCATTTCATTATTTCGCTTTCCAGCATTTACAGAAAAACGCTTCATTCTAGAAAATCCTATCGCAAAACGGTTGGAAATAATAAATGTAACAGCAGAATACGTCCTAGCACAGTCATTCTACAAGTAGAGTGACTGTGGTCCTAGTAATAAACTAAGTGACTTTTAAAGACTGAATGGTGTTTGCGAACCTCGTATTAGTTAGTTATAAACCGACGTTAGCTTCAAGTGTATGTCACACCATGGAAACAACCAAAAACATGTTGCTTGTTTTTGAGCGGAGCGGATCGCCAACCAGCCTACCGGCTTGTTTTGGAGTTTCCTACTATTTTGGTACCCGTGAACGGTAAAACCAAGGGTGTGTTTAAACCGAAGAACACAGACAGAATATTCACACTATTTAATCATAACATATATATTCTTTGTTTTTTAGTTTAAAGAAAACCCTCCCCAAACTTTAAAACAGAGAACAAAGACCACACGTAGATATTTAAATCTCTGCTTTAAATTCCAAGGATTTTAGCACACATAGCATTAACAATGACGACAAAATAATTGCCATTTAAATCATAATTTATTCATTTGCCACTTTACAACGAACATTGTCCTTTTTACTCACTCGTATGCGTCATTATACACAAAAATAGGTTACGGGACGATTGACTTTAGTAATCGGAATTTCCGAGAACACGATCAGAAATGTTACTAATGAAAATGTTTAATATGGATTTGCACGTATCTCTGAAATATGCACCAATTAAAACCGTTCAATCATAATATATCTGCTTTTAGTTATCAAAGGAGTCTTCGTTTTACATAAGACTACCACATACAAATATCACCAATGGAAATGTATTATACTACTAATGAATAATATGGACACACATTAGGCTAGAAACTTCATATCAATAAATTGCTCATCACCATAAGTAGTCCAATTTGTATCATTTTATATTTAGGACATTGGTAGTTTAGGTCGTATTATAGGTACGATTTGGATGATGACTTCACGATGGGATATTGTGAATAAATTAGCATAACTGAAATATGTTCGAGGGAGTAACAAGGTCGTCGTGAATAAATTAGCATACATTACTTTTTTTTTTAAAAACTAGCATTGAAATCACGAAGGATTTTTATGAATTTATCGTAGAGGGCACTCACGTACACATACACAACCATTCACGCTGCTTACGCTAATAAATGCACTGCATTTTGAAAACTAAAGGAGTTTATTACACAAAGGAAAGGTAAATCTAGTAAGATACATGGAATATAACATTTTTTTTGATTGAGTAAATAATCGAAATGGATTAAAAACTGAATATTACATTTTTCTAATGAGTATAATTATAATTATATCTCGTAAAGTTTTTGATATATTCACATGGTTCAAATGTCTATCACGTGTGAAAGAGTCTACTACAGACTTCATAGGTTCCCTCGACATCTGCGCAGCAAGTAATACAAGACATATTGACCACACACACTATAGAGAATGGGGCTTGAATTATTTGATGATTGTAGAACTACGATTGTAAATTCTCCGTGGTATGGATCTTTCATATAAAAAGCACCCAAATGTGTCCGCCCCCGCTACTGTCATCTGTGTTTGTTATGAACGCTACAGGATACACTATCTAAGGCATTTGATCTCTAACACAAACGCTGAAGTACACATTTCTCGTGTACGGATCAGCCAACAGAATACGATCCAGTTGATTCGTGTTTATCACAGCTTGAAATCGGTCAATACATTTCTGTCTCTGTCAATCTTAATAACGTTGTCGTATTTAGCATGAATCAAAGCGAACACAGTCTTAGTCAATACTTGACTGAACTGAATCTCAAGACCAATCTTACCTTCTTGTATCAAATTGAGGTGATAATTGCTGACCGATTCGTCAAGAGTGAGGTTAAATGCGAAGATTGTGTACCCTTTGAGATACTCATCTCGAGTGTTGCCGTTGCCTTGGTCTTGCAATTGACCAATTGTATTTGTATCTGTAAACAGAGTGTAATAATCGATGATGCAACTTCTACTATCATCAGCTTTGCAGGAACTTGCTTGCCTCTAACGTTGGGGATGAGTGATGTGATACCGTAATTCTGGAAGTTGAATGGATTGGTTTCCGATTCGATGAAAGACACATTGGAAACCAGACCCAGGATGATCCTTTTGGGCAACTGACCGAGGAATATCAAATCTTTGTTTAATGAAATTATACCAGCAAGGATGGAAGCGATTTTCATAACGCAACGATCGATGGGGTATTTTGCCGTACCCTGTTTCAACTTTTCGGTTGAGCTGATCAAGCAGCACTGATTTTCACTTCAATGTAATTTTCAGTTTAACTTCCACCCCGTTGAGTAAATACTTTGGTTTGAGTTCCACGTTAGCATCATCATCATCAGCCCTCAGGTTTGCGACATTCATTTTTCAAGTGATGTCCTTCTCAAATATCACCGCACCGATCTCCATATTCCAATAGCGTTTTGATCATGGCTCTGTAAGAATAGGTGGGAGATGTGTCCGTAATCTGCTTTCCATTCAGGTAAACATCATTGATTGTTGGAGGAATAGTAGAGAGATCAAGTTTTATCTTTTCGCATTCACAGGAGTGTTCGTGTACAAAAGACACGATGTGCAGTCAAATATATCCAGAGAACTTCTCTTTTTACCTTGGAAGAAATGACACATCTCATTGGTATTCTTCTTATTTTTGATGGTGCGTCATTGCCTCGATCTTCCAAATAAATTGCTCAATACCAAAGAAGTAATTTGATGACCTACAGTCTTTGCTCTTCTTGAAGCCGCTTTTTTGAAGTTTTCCACTTGTACAACATCACCTAGAATACCCAAACCGGCATCGAGTGCTGGTTTTGCCACGGCTTTCAGACACTGTGTTAATAGAGGCTTGCCAATTGAGAAAACATACTTCAGATTCAATATCTGCGTTGCAGTCTTGCAACAGAAAATACAGATCCTCGTCCAATTTGATTCATGTAGTAATTTCTATAAACCCCAACGTGTGGAGTGTAAGGTCGATGTCTGTTCATTTTTTTTCCTCCTCACTAGCGAAGGACGAGCTTTGCAAAATGACACCATCTCCCCCGTATCTGACCTTATATCAATCTCCACAGTCTTGAATGTTGATGTTCGAATCAGGAGAAAGTATTGTTTGTTCTAAGTGTGATTGATGCTATCTCCGTGGGTTCCTTCAACGTTGACTATTCTTAAGAGAGGTACAGAGATGTCACCGACCATTTGATGTATGATTATATTGCAATGCATGTAGAGGGAATACGAACTTCTAACATCGGCAAGGTAGGGACTAGTGCGTCTTTCGTTCGTAATTGTTGTATTTGAAGAAAATCCTATCAGTTCGGCTAATCGACCCATCAAGATTAAACAAGCTCCTTCTTCGACCGCTATGGACACTCTTTGACCTTGAATTATATGTCATCAATATATCATCTGGCAAATCATTTCGATCAAGTTGTAGTAGGCTGCATTCAATTTCAATTCTCTGTGATCTCTCAGATTAGGTGAGGCATCGTAAAAGATCATATTTTCTTCATGTACGACGTTTTACTACAAATTTAGGTAGTGGATGTTAGCCAACCCTACTCCCCAGTTGCCATTTTGTCCAGGAAAACTTCAAGTGAGGCATTACTATGGAGCATAATACATGCAGATAAGTCAACGTATTGTTCTTCTGGGACATAATATCACCAACTATGTCTATGTATGACAACCATAAAGCTGACATGCTGCCATTATGCAGATATTGATCGTATTGATTCCAGAGTAGCATGAACCTTTTCATATTTTCTTGCTCTAGCATTGCATCAAAATTATTGTGACACATTTCATTATGTAGAACATCAACTTGCTGAATTAGCAAATGGATATGATGTATCGTGTCTGGGTTAGTTATTTCAATCCAAGGAATGAAACCTTTCCATGCAATACAGAGTAATGTTTCATATATATATTTGTGTATTTTGACTGCTCTATTTTACATCTTTCCATAAAGCACACCAGGATCTGAAATCTCTAGCATATAACGCCTGATCAAATACTATAACCATGTTTCCAGGTGTAGTTCATTTCTCATGATGTCTAACTGGTTCCGTTTTCCAAAAACTGTAGACATTTCAGTTGCAGGTACATTATTCGTTGGTATAAATCAAGTATAACATTATATCAAGAATGACACACATGTACAGTGACACTGATGATGTAAGTGACGGTATGCACGTGACAAAGAAGATACTATACTACACTATTCAGATTATCCAGGAGACAGGTGGGTACTTGGTACTGAATACATGTATAGATATCTTGTTCGATCACCAACGTCCAAGCTGTTAAGTTATTCCCTTTCTATTGATCCTACTTTCAATAGGGGCCAGTTTGAGGTGACCCCAATAGTTTATAAATTTTAGAGAATCGAAGAACGCACAACAGTACTATATTTTTAGGGCCAACAATGATCCATCAAGTAAATCATATTATGCTTATCGCAAACTGACTTCAATCTGTGTTTCAAAGTGTGAAGGTATCAATAAGATGAAAGGATTTGTGACTGACGGCGAAGCAGCACTTCAGCAAGCTTTCCAAGACCAATTGAAAGACTCACAGAGTTTAAGATAACTGTAACATAAAACTGTAACATAAAACTGGGAGATATTGGAATTAAACCCAGAAAAGATCAGCAGTACTTTATGTTCATAGCATTGGGTATTAAAGGAAAGAAGGATGGAATCCTTGATGCAATAAATTCTAGTGATTTACGAAAGCGCCTTGATTGTTTCGGAGTGGAAGTTGGAGGCCCATGAAAAAAAAAGATGTTGAATAAAGATTCCTCATACAAGCCACATTATTGGCCTTATGTAAACAGCCATTACAACATATGTTAGACGAGGTGAGAAAGCAGGCGGGACTGGCTCTTGACGTTAATGCTAAGCCCAAACGATGCTACACTAATACTTCAATGAATAGCGTTATTAACTAAATGCTCGTTTCTGGAAGACAATCCAAGCGTTCCAATACGCAGATTCACTGTGTTAAATTGTGCTCAAGTTTTATAGCTATTTTGTTGGCTAATTTTCTGTGTGTTGTCTTTAATTTACCAAACCCTTATGACGACATTAGCAAAGTAATAACGGTTATTATTATAATCATATGCAAGGCACTATGAACATGTGATCACCAGACTTTGATGCGATACTATGGAAATAAAAGGATCATCATTCAGAAACACATACATAAATTGTATTTGACGTAATAGTCTGTGAGGTTGTGGAACCCATATGCATTTTTGGGTATAATCTTAGGAATTTTCAGGAAACATTCATTTTGTATCATCGAATTCCAAAGCAATTTTTTTCAACCGCATTGTGGGTGGCCATTTTGAATTGTATATTGTACTGTAACAGGATTTGTCTGCGTCTGTCACCTTGTGCCCATCAACATGATCGCCTTTTCACAAAAGAATGGTGTATGCCTTAGTGCAAGTAGGAAAACATCCAGACTGTAAATGTGAACAGTAAATCTATCTTTTGCTGCTTCTACTGCATGTAAGATCATTAATGTTTCAGCTTCTTCCTGTGAGCTTACACTGGGAGTAATAGTCTAACAGGAGAATTGGATTCCCATGCACCCCATAAAACTGAAAGCACCCCAGAGATATATACTTAAGGAATTTTGATGTTACCAGTGACAACAAATGTCATATATTAATCACTGCGTCGCCATGAAAATTGAGAAAAGTATGTATTATTCCAATTAACAAAAAATATCGGCATCATTAGTAACGTTCAAACAAAATCTAAGATTCATCCTGTTCATCCATGAGTAGATCCTCAGTTGTCTCTTCCTCTTCAATCAGATCAGCATCTTGTTGGTTGTAACAACTGTCAGCCCCATCATTGTCCAGAAGGTCAAGGAGTAATGGGGGAAAGATAGGACCTATTGACCATACAGGCTCAATCACCCCATCTTCTGTTTTCAGCCACCCTTTGTCTTTCGTCATATTGGTTTGGACGCTCAACGAACATGCTCAGCAGGCCACCCAGTGGTAAATGAGCGAGTCCTGGCAAGGAGGCAAGCAAACCATGTCTACTTTTGACTTAGAGTTCAAAGTTTGGTCCTCTCCCACCATCTTCTTGAGGAGTTTGCTCCTCACCACATTGACAGAAGTGTCACATGCTTGACCATACATTGCACAGGTGAAGACATCCAACTGTTTCAGCATCACTATATATATATATATATACAATATGATTACTACTGTAATTAATTTGAAACAGCACTTCTTTGTAAACATGAAATTGTTGACTTGCTAATAGAATTTACCTGAAAGCATTATGAAACTTTTTTTCTGGAGGTTCTTCACCTTGCCCTTGAAGAAACTTGTTCAAACCTCTGCTGAGAACACATAGAAGCCAAGTATAGTGGAACACCAATCCCTACCAAGTTCAACTCCCAGCTCACTGATGTTGATGATCTTTCGGTGTTTGCCTGTCCCGTTAAGGTATATTTTGTCAGAATGAGGTCATTTGCATGAAAATAGAGAATGAAAAAGATCTCTGTGTCAGGTGTACGCAGAACTGCAGACTTGAAACCAAGCTTCTCATCATAATGAAGATATATTACAATGCGAGTGTCTGTCTCTTCTTGATGTGATTGCAAAGATGGGATCTCCAATACTATGACCTGATTGTACTGAGCTATTGTATAAAACTAAACATTAACTTTCCCCTCTACAACAATGCCAGCTGTCTAGCACTTCTGCAGTCGTGTTGTAGCCTTACTGCTTCCCCTTACCTCCAGCATCAGCTGACATAGTAGCATCTTGTAGCAGATGTTACCAAATGTAGGGGGCAAGTTGATCAGGGCACGAAAGAGTGCGTTTCCATCTTGAGTGAAGAAGGCATCTTTGGGATATGGAACTCCATCTGTTCTATCCTTCATAACATAGTGCATCATGGTTGCCTTGTTCGTCTTGGCAAAGAACCCATCTGAAGTGCCAAGGCAGAGAGGTACAGGTGAGAGACAGTATTGCATCAGCTCATCCAAGTCAATTGGCTCATCAAGAAACTGTGACTTAGCCAGTAGTGTGAACGCCAGGTTACTCTGCTCTTGATACTGGATTAGCTGTGACAATAACATTTAAATACACAAACATAGTTTTTTTGTGCACATTTTATACCACTATACCCCATAAGACAACTAAAAATGAAAGACACAGTATTTAGTTTTAAATATTATCTTGTTCAAAATAACACCAATTCAAGACAGAAATGCTGAATAAACTTCAAATTTTCCTGCTCACCCAGTGCATCAGCACGCATCACATCTACCTCCACCTCAAGTGAAAAAGGAGCACCAGAATGCAATGTATAGAGCCTGTCATCCGCTGGGTCTTCAGGGACAGGTATTTTGAAGGGATTCAGAAAGCTTAGTATTGCAGCCCCAGTTTGCTACACTGCCCCTTCACTCTTTTTGATGTTAGTCTTCTCCAGGTCCCAGTGCTTGCCAGCATGTGGGCATTCAGGATCATCCACCATGTTACACATCACCAAGAACTTCTCAAAGTACTGGGTACGGGTTGATGTAGTGCGGCACCAGTGCTGGTATGAACGAAACATCTGGAAGATACCAAGGAGACCACCTGCAACTTTGACAGAACATGCTTATTCATAACAAGTTGTTGCATGTAATTAGTAGTAAATTTTACACATAATACTACTCTTCAGTTTTACCTGAGGATTTGGTAAACTTCATTAATGTTTCCTCCATTGTCTTGTCCACTGCACACAATGACCCTGGGATGAGAGACCTAGCAATCCATGGCTCCACTGTCTATGAGCTCCATGGCATTGGGATAACTGAGCTCCAAGTTGGTCATGAAAGCCTCAAACCATGACAGGTACCTGTGTATTTTTCAGAATCAAGTTATCAAACAAAATCATTAAATACCTGGAGTAGTTATGTCTGTCATATGCGAAAAAACAGGTTGGCCTTCTTCCCATTGCACACATGGAAGAGCGTCCTATTGCCATCAGACTAGCCGCTGATGGTCCATGACCGACACCCAGAAGACTGCAGTTTTCCCAAGGGGCCCTTTACGAACTTTGTCCTGGTAATCTAGATACTGCTGGATTATGCCAAGTGTTGAGGCATCCTGTAAAACAAGACTGAGGTTCTGGCGTGTGCAGAACTTGAACTTGAACTTGTTGAAGAGAGCTGCAGGAGAGAGCTGGATGTGCATTATCCCAATAAAAATCTCAGACAGCAACCTCTCTAGTGCCTCACAAACAGTCTTTATGCAGAACAAGGTCTTGGCATATGATTTTCCAGAGAGGACGCTTTTCACACAGCCACTGGTCACCAATTGAGCCTTCAACCGAACTTCAGCATACCCTGAACCTCCTGTGGTTGGTGATCATGCCAATGTAATTCATGGATTTGTGAAATGGTCCAAGGAGGATAACATGATCCTTGAACTTGTCAGGATATTTTGACACCAGTGGGAGTGCCTTCATACAGACACCAAGATCAAAAGTATTAATGATGTACTTCTGACCCACTTCTCGTTTAGCCTCCTCTGATCTCAGTAGTAGTTTGTGCACTGTCTCGCACTGGGTGATGGGCTGGTTAATGGGTGTGTAATGGTAGATTATGGTAATCTAGTCAATGGTAGATTTTCTATCAGGTTTCATACCAGTTGCTGAGATGAAGCCATCCAGGTCAGGTATCTCCTGTTTACCCTTGCTTGAGATCATCCTGTAAAAACACAAAAACAGTTATAAAAAGCAGGTTTATAATGAGTGCATAATTATTGAATATGCACACTAAGCTTAATGTGAATGTCTCACCTACATAGAAGCCATGCAGTGTATTCACGGAAACTTCATCATCAGGAGGCAAAAAAAGATGCATTCTTTGGGAACTTTGGACCCTCCCCGTTTTAAATGGTGACATGGGGAAGAGTCTCTGGAGTATCTGACTTTAGATTCCTCTTCTTACTTCTGTCATAGAGAGGAAGAGTTCGTTCTGTGCTTGGTGTAGCACCAGGCATTAT